GATTACAGAAATCATCAAAATCGGTTAAGAAATGACGAATAAATGAAACTATTTTTTTGTATACAGTTCCCCGATGCTTTTCCTTTGAGTAAGTAGCATTTTTTAGGAAGAATCACGTCGTTGTTGTCATTGTAAATCTTGGTAGCTATGGTTTTGATAAATGCAGTTGATCAATACCATAGCAGCGAAATAACGACTGACAGCTATTTGACATGAAATGATTTGACATTTGGATTTTCGAAAGTTTGCAGGGTTTTGTTCGCAATTACCGCAATGAAAGCAAAAGGGATAGTGTACACCGGTATACACGGTGATCTGCTAAGATGGTTTCAGTCGTATATTACAAATAGGTCTCAGGCAGTAACTCTGGAAAAATTCAGTTCTAGATTCATTATCATTAACTACTTCCGGAGCCCATCTGGGCTCCGATATATCTAGCTGTTTCTCCTACTGTGATTTTTTAATGTTTGCTGACGACTTGAAAGTATTCCATACTGAGACATGTTCCAACGATTCACTCCTCATTCAGAAAGATATAAATAATCTCATAAAATTCTGCCAGAAAAACTCTTTATTCCTCGATCCTGAAAAATGCCACTCTATAACATTTACAAGAAACAAAAATATTCACCACCACCAGTATCACATAAACATACAGCAACTAAAGAAAACATTCGAAGTCAAGGACTATTATTATGACTCTTAGCTAGTATTTGACTCGCATATTAACTATATTACAAAAAAAGCCAACAAAACTTCTCAAATTTCTGATCAGGACTTCCGTAATACTAACTCTGTTCGTACAGTTTACATGGCTTATGTATATAACCAGCTCAATTCTGTTTCAGTTATTCAGAACCCCCTGTATGTTTCGTATATTTGAAGTCATGAATCTATACAAAGCAAATTCGTCACCTATATCAATAGAAAATTATTTCATAATCTCAAAGATCAATTACAGATTAAAATACAACTCAATCTTTGGCAGATAGACACCAAATAGCTGATATTAAGTTTTTATATAAAATAATGAATTAATTTTTTGACAGCAGTTCTAAATTGAACCAACTTTTGATTGATATACATGTGTATAATACCAGAGAATTATATTCATTCCAAACGAATCGAAGTAAAACTAATTACTATTTGAATTCTCCCCTAGATAGGTGTTGTGAATGAGTCGTGTGTACATGTGCTTCGTTTTAACTATATATTTCAAGTGGTATTAAGTGCACCAACATTCTGAATTCAACATCACTGAAAGTGGATAAGAATGCCGAACACAGTGAGTAATTAGAAATTAAAAAAAAAATCATAGGGAACAGAAAAACCTACATTTGATGATACAAACACAAATTTATCAATCACACAACGAAGCCTTAAATATACACCTCGGTAGTGAGCACCAAATATAAATGCTCCATGAGCATGGCGCTCTGGAAATTGGAAACGATTATAAATAAGAACACAAACGGGATGAAGGCGAAGATAAAATCTATTAACGATACCTCAAACCAAAAACTTGAAAACCTAGAAAAAACATTTCAGAATTGAAGAGAAAGTCGCTCATATTGAGAGAGAAAATAAAAAAAATAATACAGTTATATATGGTATAACGACTGACCGGGAAAATCTTCTGAGTACCACTCTGGAACAAATGAATACAATTTTCAGCTGTAAATTGGAAGAGAGGGACATAAACAACATCCACCTCATCGGGAAAAAAATCCAATTATTGTAGAATTCATCTCGAGCCTATAGAAACAAAAAATAGTCGAACAACTTCATAAGCTCAAGGGTACAGGCATCTCCATCACACATGAACTACGACCTGAAGATCGTGAACTGAACAGAAATCTAGTGCATCATCTGAAGGAAGCCAGGGCTAAAAACCAGAAGGCTCACATAAAAAACTTCGTGAATGCTGTAAATGCTGATCACAGAATTAGAATTAGGAAATATGGAATCCAACTGGAAAAAAAAAACTTCAAGAAGAATATACTGAAGCATCACATCCATTAAAACAGTTATTCTAAATCACCAATTACGACAAAACCATCAAATAGTAACCCTAACAGAAATCAACTCATGAAGATGAAAGGAATCAAGGAAACACGATCGTTGGAAATAAACAACTATAAACCAGGACTTTCAAATACTCAACTTCCAGTACTAGTAATTAGAATAAATTCAGAACATATTATTATAAGCCTATAGACTAACACAATCACATTTTAATACTTTTTTAACATTGAAAGAAATTATACTGATAGATATACTAATCTATTGTGATTGATCCTTATATCACCAACTTCGAAATAAAACGAATAAATTCCTATGTTCTGAACACTGCCTACGAAGTGAACGAAATTTTCACAGTAAACAATGAATCTCAAAATTTTAAGCTCATACATAACAATATACGAAGTATTGCCAAAAATTTAGACAGATTTGATATTTTTATCCAGCAGTTTCAATCACAATTTGACTGTATCGTACTAATAGAAACGAGATATATACCCGATGTAACGCTATAGGGAAATTTGAATCAGAATGATGGACGGATAGCCTATGTTAATTCAGATCTTTATCAATCTCATACTCTATATGAATTCAATGGATCATTTACTATCAAACTGAAAATTACTTCAGGAGAAAATTATGTGATTGTACACGTCCTTTATAGATCACCTTCCACCGGCATCACTGAATTTATTGAAAAATTGAAATCGTACCTAAATAATGATAGAGACCACCAATATCACTTGAAACTAATTGTCGGAGATATCAACATCAACATTCTCAATCATTCTGATTACTCGAATAAATACTTGGATGTCCTGAGTGAACATGGATATATTTCGGGTATAAATAGCTATACAAGGAAACGCAAAATCATGTATAGACCATATATTTGTTAATGATGAATCTGAAGACTACAGCAACGTAATACCAATTATTCTCTGTGCCAACATCACTTATCAATATTCGACCCTTGTTCAATTAATTTCTCAATCTGATATGCAGTTCGGTTTCAAGGAAGGCAAGTCAATCGAAGACGCTATAATTGAACTCACAAACTATGTTTACGGAGCATTAGATGAGAGCAAACCTTGCATTGGTGTTTCCGTAGATCTGGCGAAAGCATTCGATACCGTGAGTCACTCCATACTACTATCAATACTTC